TTGCCGTAGCAGTTTGTGATTCCCTGTTACCTCGGACAGTTCTGTGCATCTGACTTACTCCCGAATTCTAGTGATTTTCATTTGCATCCACTAGAAGCAAATGCATGATACTTATACTCCTTCCAAAACTATCCTGCTTTCTGCTATATTTATGACATGTCCCATCTTGGTATTTAATTTTATTTACGCCGTGTTCCACCCATCAGATCTACTGGCAGGCCTTTTAGCTAGAGCTGCTGACTTTTAAATAAGGAATAGCAGGTTATTGAAGAGGTCAAAGTACTGAAGTTCCTTTTCCTGCCTCACATGAGGATATTGGCTGGACAAGGCTAGCTGGGTGGCAGTCTTTTGTGTGTGTGCTCTAACAATGAGCTTGGTTGAGCCCACGTGTATTTATATACCCTTCTTTAGTCTGGAAGCTGGATACTGCTGTTCACCCAGTTACTGTTGCTGGAAAGGATTTCCCTAGGGAAAGAGTGGAAAGCAAAGCTGGTTCTGTGGTGACTCAGGCTCTCAGCAAAGCCTCTCATTCCCTCATGTCCTTTTAGGGGCATCTGCTTCCCCTGTGACCCTGCTGAGCACACGAAGCATGCTGTTTCTGCTGGAAGAAAATCACCAGTGGCAGGTGCAACCCCCCTTGGATGCAGATCATGAGGCAGAAATGCCTTCTAGGAGCAACATCCAGTTGAAGGAGAAGCAGCCAATCAGCAGTATTAGCAATGTCATAACCTATCGCCTCTGTCCTTGTGACATCAAGCTGATGCTTTATGATGAGGTAACCAAGGGAAGGTCATGGGGCACACAAGATGCTAGGGGCTGGATTGTGCTCAAATCCTGTTCCTGCCAAGAGCGTTTCTGTCATCTCCCATCCTAACCCAGGGCTCTGCACCACAGAGCAGAGGGGGTGCAGCAATAGGCTGCTATACAAAAGTCATGCAGGGACACTTTCATGGCTGGTAGCAGAGCAGGAGAAGGATATCACTTAGAAACTGGGAGGAGCTGGCAGCTGTGCTGCAGAGTAGCAGCTCAGGGCTGATAAGCGCGTTTGGGGTGGGGCCCTGCTCACCCACCTCTCTCTCTTTCCTCCCTTACAGGTGCTGAAGGTGGAGAGTGCTTGGCACATCCGCACAGAGTGCCCTGAGCTCCTGGTAGAGCTGGTGGAGTGGATCCGCAGGCCCTGGGAAGAGATGTTCTCTATTGAGCTACGGAGAGCTGTGTATGAGGGACTGGAGTGAGCTTGCCAGCTGTAGGCAGGAAAGACCTGGAGTCACAAGTGCTGCTGTGCTGGCAGCAGTGCACAGATATGTCCCCTCCCATCTGATCTTGCTGTCCCATGGCCTTTGCTTTCTACTCTAGTCTTGCCCCTGACCCTTTCTGGTGAGGAGGAGGGGAGCACACAGTGGTCTAGCCTTTGCACAGTCACTCACCTGCACTGGGCTGACCGCGAAAGGAGGTGGTTGGAGATGTCCCTTGTGATACTGTGTAAGCTACAGAGTTTTAGCTTGGTGGTATTTGCTAGTCTCCTTCACGATAATACGAAGTATTACTGAAGAGAGAAGCTGAACCAGAGAGTGTTCAACGGGCTGTGGTGTGACTCAGGCAAATCAGCAGGCCAGAGGCAGTTGGATGCTGTGGTTTTCCTAGCAGATGTATTTGCTGCCTTCCTAGCTGTCTCAGAACAGCTGCCAGTGTCTGCTGATGATTCTTTTCTTTTTCTTTCTCCCTCTTCTTTTATCCACAGCTTCCCAAAAGCTCCTACTTCAAACAGGAGCCTGACTGCACAAAGGGATAAGGCATATGTTGTACTCCTAACCCCACAGAGAGCCCTTACCTGCCTGCCTGGCAGGCTATGGCTCAGTCTGCTGCTGTAGTCCTTCACTGTCACTGGGGAGGGAGGGGAGCTGGGAGGCTCTGACCACAGAAGTGTGTTGCTCATTGCTTAGGAGGTCAGGACCCTCATGGACACTGGCAGGTAAAAGTGAGGCTTAGGCTTTTTCTGAACAGTCCAAAAGCAAGAATCTATTTTAACGTGAGTTTTACTATTTTCTATTGCAATAAAAAGGTTATATTTATTGAATTGCCACAGTTTCCTCGCCTCATCCTCTTGCATTGCTATGATGTCCTAGTAAGGTCTTGCATACTAGCTTCATCAGTTTCCAGGAGCCAGTTCTGGGGCTGGCAAGGGAACAAGGCCACAACCAACCCAGCTATACCATCCTCAGAGCCTTAGGAGAGTAGGAAGTTCAGCTTCGTAGTAGTGTAAGGCCACCCCACAGCATGCTGCTGGGTGCTTTCTTGGAATGTTTATTTTTAGACTTTCTCTTGTCACTTTGAGTAGCAGTTTCAGTTGCTGAAGGCCCACAGTGGCCAATATTTTTATCTAGCCTTCTATAGACTGGATTGACAAGATCTATAGTGTCTTGAGGCAGATGTCACAATGCATTCCACTTTGTCCCCTCTTCCTAAATGGGCATATGGCTGCTGCTCTCCGTTCCTTTGCAGTGATCTCAGACTGCGAATGGCAATGAGCTCAGTGGAAGCACTGCCAGCACACAGCACTTTGTCTGGGGGAAGAAGTCTCAGAGAGCAGCACCAAGTAATGACCAGTAAGGTTTTTCTGTCTTTGTCTTGCCATTTAAGGTGCCTGTGCTAAGTATTATCTTCCCCTTCCATAACTGTGTTTTACATAAAGTACAAGAGTCAAAACTGGAGTTACCAGACCAGTCTTAGTCTCCTCTGTACACACCGATCCCTTGACACAGCTCCATCCCAGCTGGTGTTTTCCACCCTAATCAAGCTGCACCCCTGCTCTGCTGCACCTGGGTGTGTGGTGAGGTACCTGACAAAGTCTGGATTGCCAGAACTAAAGGTTTCAGCTGTTTGCCTGCCCATGCCTGTTCTCAGGCTATTTTACTTACTTGCTCCTGCTCCTAGCCCTTTCTCTCTGCAGGTCCATCTCCTTGGCTCAGCACCAGCATGTTCCTTTTCACCCACTCCCTGGCTACTGCCAAAGAAAGCTCACAGGTACTGCTGTAACCCCTCTGCTGCCTCTTCATCAAGCACTCACTTTGTTTTCCCTTAATCTGGTAACAACCAGGGCATACCCCCACTCCCTCTGTAGTTGCTCTCTGACCTTGAACGTTCCTGTGGAGCTGGAACTAGTGATGGGGTAACTGGTCTCATTGTGCCAATGCAGTGTGTGCAGAAGCACACCTCAGTCATCAGTCTGGCTCTTTCACCACTTTCCTCTGTTTCTCCTTTCCAGCACCTGGGCTGTGAGAAGACAGAGCCTAGGGGCTGGTCGTCAGCTCTCTTAACTGGGAGAGCCCTATTTCTAGTGGATGTTTACCTCCAGCAGAACTTTCCTGCAGCAGCCACTTGCTGCCCTTTGCAGTCCTCTGCTGGAGCGTGCCTCTGGCTGTTATCAGGTCATTAAAGTGGCCGTGGAGCTGTCCTGTATCAGGACAAACAGTCCCTAATGGAGCCGTCTGCTCCCTGTCCCAGTGCCAGAAGCGCTGATTAGTAGGGGAAGAGTGGGAACAGGCTACACGTGGCACAGCTCTGAGCCAGGTGAGGTGATGGCTCAGGCTGTGCCCAGGCTAGGCAATCAGGCTCGTCTCCCAGCTGAGCAAACAGCTCGGTGGCTGCCCTGGGAGCAGCGGTTGTCCCACCAGAGCCTACCAGGTCAGGAAGGAGCCCACCACCGCCCCTGGATGCCCTGAGGCCTGCTGGGGGCAGAAGGTGGGCTTCCCCCTGGCCTGGCAGCTCTGCTTATCCACACTCTCACCACGTTCCCCCTTTCTTCTGTCTCCCCCAGCTGCGTGTTGTGTGCCTGTTCCAGTGCCAGGCTTTGTCCCGTGGCCTGCTCCCGGTCCTGCGGTCGGTGACGGCGCTCCCGCTTCCCCTCGGCCGGTCCTTACGCAGCAGCAGCTTCCCAGGGTTGCACAAGGCAGCTCTCCCGTCAGAGTCGGGGGCGGGAGGACGCGGTGCTCTGCCCGGGCTTCTACGGGGATCCCCAGGGAGGACGGACCCTCAGCCCCCGGGGATCCCCTGACCGGCCAGTCCTCCGGAGCCAATTTTAACAGCGCGGAAAGCCAGCGGCCGGCTCGGCGCCCCATAGCCATAGCCACGCCGGGGCCGGAGCGCACGGACACCGCGCCCGCTTCCCCAACCCGGCGGCACCGCGCCCCGCCCGCCACTCCGGCCGTTGCTCGCACCGAGCAGAGAGGCCCCGCTCGGTGAGTCACCGGGGGCGGGCGAGAGCAACGTGAACTCGGCGGGAAGCGGCGCGGCTCGCGGCGGGCCCGTAGGTGCGTACCGGCGGGCGGCGCGGGGCGGGGCGGCCCCGGGCCCCTTTGTTCGGCGGGAGGCGGCGGCGTAACGCCCCGCCGCTTTGTCCGCCGCGCCGCCGGCGGGAGCCGCTCGTCCCGGCGTGGGGTGAGTGGGGCGGGGGGAGCGCTGGGGCTGAGATCCGCCGGGTGCGGTGGGGTGCGGGGCCCCGGGGTTGGGGTTGGGGGTGGGGAGGGCTCGGGGCGCGGTTGGGTCAGGCTGGGGCGCGCGGTGCCGCTCGGCGCGTGGCGGCTCGGCCACCTGCCCCGAGTGGGAGCCTGTGTCACCTGCGTGCCCCGCGTCCCTCCCCGGGCAGCCTGAGTACCCCGGCCCACCCCCGGCCCCGGGGCGCTGCGCCGCCGAGCGAGGAGCGGCTGCTGATACAAAGCGTCGTCCCTGCGGCGGGGCCCGGCGGCGTAGCAGGTGGCAGCGGCACCCCGCAGGGTGCTCAAGCCCGGGGAGCGGGTTGGCCGAGGAGCGGGTTCGGGCGCCCGTTGCTCGGGGCTGGCGGAGTCCCGGTGCCGGCGCGTGCCCATCGCTGGTGCGAGGCTCGGAGCAGAACAATAGCGGCAGGAGAGATCTCTCGGGGCGGCCTGCGAAGCCGCCACCTGCCGCCCTCGCATCGGCCCCACGCCGGCGGCTGGGCTGTGCGCCGTCTCCCCGCGGATCTGGCCAGAAGTTGCTGTGCTTTCCCCGCAATTTCCTCCCGGACATCTGGCGTCAGCTGTAACTTTGTGCAATTCCCTGCCTGCCTCGTGCTGCCCCTTGCCGTCACCCTGGTCCCTCGTGCTCCACGTCCCTCGCCGTGCCCGAGCCACGGGGTGCGGCGTGGCCCTGGGACCAGGTGGCAGACGAGTGCTTGGCTCCACCGGGCTGCCCCCTCGCCCGCCGGAGCCGGCACTGCCCTGCTCCTGTGTTTACCCTTGCCGTGGTGACTCTTCCCCCAGATACATCCTGTCCAGGACGGGTGAGTGTCCCGGCTTTTCCCCTACTCCCCGCATCCTGGCTGGTGGCAGTAGGGGAGGAGGTGCTGAGGGCTGCTGGTGCCCTCATCTTTATGCTATACAGAGCCTGGGAGTCACCGGTGGGTAAGGGATGGGATGAAGGCACTGCGTGGGGGCTTCTGCTGCCTTTGGGGGGGCCGGGTGAGATGCACTGCTGCTTGCCCCGTGGCTCATCGCCTGCCTTCCCACAGAGCTGAGCCGACTGCCTGGCCAGGATGAGCTGGAGCTTCCTGACGCGGCTCCTGGAGGAGATCAACAACCACTCGACCTTCGTGGGCAAGATCTGGCTCAGCGTCCTCATCATCTTCAGGATTGTGCTGACGGCTGTGGGGGGTGAGTCCATCTACTACGATGAGCAGAGCAAGTTCGTCTGCAACACGCAGCAGCCAGGCTGCGAGAACGTCTGCTACAACGCCTTCGCCCCACTCTCCCACGTCCGCTTCTGGATCTTCCACATCATCATGGTGGCCACCCCCTCTGTGCTCTACCTGGGATTTGCCATGCACCGCATTGCCCGCATGCCTGAGTCCTCACGGCGCCGGGTGCCGGCAACTCAGCGTGGCCGCATGCCAGTGGTGCGGCGTGGAGCCGGGCGGGACTACGAGGAGGCAGAGGACGATAATGAAGAGGATCCCATGATCTTCGAGGAGATTGAGGTGGAGAAGGAGAAGGGCACCGAGGGTGGCGAGAAGCACGATGGCCGGCGCCGCATCAAGCAGGACGGGCTGATGCGTGCCTATGTGCTACAGCTGCTGTGCCGCATGCTGCTGGAGTCAGCCTTCCTTTTCGGGCAGTACCTGCTGTTCCGCTTTAAGGTCAGCCCCTCCTACGTGTGCAGCCACAGCCCCTGCCCGCACATGGTCGACTGCTTCGTCTCACGCCCTACCGAGAAGACCATCTTCCTGCTCATCATGTATGCCGTCAGTGGGCTCTGCCTCTTCCTCAACATCTGCGAGCTCTTGCACCTGGGCGTGGGGCGCATCCGCGATGCGCTGAGCCAGCCCAACAGCCCACCCTCCAGCAACCCCGCACCGCACTACACCAAGAAGCCCCCCAGTGCACCGCCCACCTACCACTCCCTGAAGAAGGAGCCACTGAAAGCCCCTCTGCCTGATGGCAAGCTGGACTACCGGGAGAACCTGGCCAACTCGGCTGCCGAGCGCTTCGCCCTGGCTGGCGCTCCCCGTGAGCATGAGCTGGAGCGGCTGCGTGAGCACCTGCGCTTGGCCCAGGAGCACCTGGAGATGGCCTTCCACCTGCAGCCACCCCCCCGGGCTCCCAGCCCCACACGCAGCAGCAGCCCTGAGGGCAATGGCATGGCTGCTGAGCAGAACCGCCTCAACCTGGCGCACGAGAAGGGTGGCGGCTGCGAGCGCAGCACAGGTGAGCCTGGGGGACCAAGTTCTGGTGGGTGGGGCAGGGTGGTGGGGCACCCCAGGATGGCCGCTGATCTGCATCTTGTTCCCACAGGGCTGTGAGTGACGAGGATGGACAGTGCGGGACAGTGGTGTGACACAGCATGAGACGACGACATGTATTTGCCCGGTGGGGCTGCCCAGGGCGTCTCCATCCCGGTGGGCAGCGATGGGGACAGGGGCTTGGGGAACCTTCCTTCACTGTTCTTAATTTTTTTTTTTTAAAAAAGGAATATCTTATTTTTGTACATTTTTATAAACTCAGCAGCGTGCACCCTGGCATTTTTATACACCCCTCCCGATTCCCACTCTGAGCCCGCACCTCCCCTCCCTGTCTCCTGTTGTATCCCCACGTCCCTCCCCACACCCTGTGCCTGCAGCACCTCCAATTCGTGCCTCCCCTGCACTCTCTGTGCACATGCAGGTCACGACAGCAGTAAGGATGCTCACACCAGGTCTGGCTGGTGAGGCTGCACCATGGGCTGGCACTGAGCCTGAAGTAGAGGTAACAGCAGGGACCTGTGAGAGACGTATCCCAGTGGCACCACTGCTGGGGGGTGCCCATACAGTGAGCACATGTGGGCTGCACAGGGCCCCTCTTGGCTCCTCTTTGGCTTCCCCCTCTCCAGGCTGCTCTTTTTAGGGAGCATAGGGGTTTATGTTTGTCCTTCTGATCTCCTCCATTTCCCTGCCAGCAGCTCTGCTTGGGCTTTGGACCAAAGCTGATCCTCTCCAGCCTGGTGTGGGGCTGGGAGCCCTGTGTGCAGTGCCCAGAGTGGGTTGGTGGGAGACACTCGGGCATTCTGATCATCTCATGGGTCACGCAGTGAATTTTGTAGCATTGTTTTGTACTTGGGTAATTGTGACTTTTTTTTTCCCTTTTTTTTTATTTTTTATTTTTTTTTAATTATCTATATTCAGTAAAGCCTGGAGACGTTTTGTACTGAACTTCTGCATCCGGTTCTCTGGGAGGAAGGGGTGGGGAAGGGGATCCTGCGCAGATGGGCTGGGGCGGGCCAGCTGTTTGCGTGGGGCTGGCAGTGGTGGGATGGGGACGCCCTGCTTGGCCCGGGGTGACTCAGTCATTCCAACTGTGCGTAGGCGGCTTCGGCCAAAGGCAGCCTCTGCTGGCGTGGCGGGAGTAGGATTGCTCCAATTGCCACATTCCTGCACAGCTGTGGATTCAGCAGGGCTTCCCTGTGCTCCCCATCCCGATGCAGCTGGAGGGACAGATGCTGCCCTCTGGCTCTCCCCTTGCTCAGGGATGGATCAGCCTTGGCGCTTCCACAAGTCCCCTCCCTGGGATGCTGGGGCAGAGCTGGGCCCCTTGCAGAGCACCGTGCTATGCTGCTGAATGCCCACAGCTCACCCTTCCCCTCCCTCCTCCAGCCCAAAGCCTCTGGGTTTGCACCCCGCTCCGTAACCGCACTACCTCTGAGGCTGTTCCTGATAGAAACTGGTGTTCTAAGATTGCTTTTGTAAAGAAAGAAGGTTTATTTATCTTGCCTTACTGATCTTGCCAACAGGTTCTGCTGTTGTTTGCGTGCCACCAGCCTCACCACCTGTGTGAGCCCCAGAATGGACGTGCCCTGGCACATCCATCTGTCCCTGTCCTGTTCCTAGGAGCAGGGGGAGGTGGCTGTGCGCTGCAGCTTGTCTTTCTTGTGGGAGGAGATATGTAGGTGAGCTGGCTCCAGGCACTGGGCTGCCATTGCAGGGCACAGCTAGCGTGCTGTGGGCTGGGCACAGCCCTGGGGCAGGGCTGCAGCACCCACACAGCCTGGAACCATGAAACCCTGGCTGTCACAGGGAGGGTGGCACCACCAAAACTTCCACCTGGGTCACTCTCCCTGCCCTGGGCTGCGCAGTGCCCATGTGAGTGACTCCTCCATCTGTGGGATGGGCTCATCATCTGGCACTGGGGCAGTCCAGAGGCAGCAGGGAGACCCATACGGGTTCAGCCATGCTGTGCCAGCCGCTAGACACAGGTGCAGTCTTGTGCCAGGATGTTGGGCACTGTCTCGTACTTGAAGGAGTAGCCACCATCAGAGGTGGTGCGGACGCGCAGCGAGCGCATGGTGCCAGGCAGAGCGGCGCAGCACAGCTGCACACCCAGCCGGTGGCTCAGCCCATGGCCTTCGGCACAGCTCCCGTGGCAGTAGTGGAAAACGAAGCTGCTGGGGTGCACAATCCAATTGTCCCAGCCCAGCTCCTCGAAGGAGATGTTGAGGGATGCCCGGCGGCAGTTGGTGTGGGCAGCCACATCCTCTGATGGGCGCTGCAGCAGGCTGAGTGCAGCCGGTGACCAAGGCACAGCGGAGCGGCGAGCCCGTCCAGCTGCCTTGGCACGGGTGGTGGCCACCAGGAAGGGCATCTTGTCCCCGTCGGCCAGGCAGGGGCAGCTGGGGCAGCGCACCAGGAGCACGAAGAGTGGCTGTGCCAGCTGGGGCAGCGCGTCAGGGCCAAAGTCAAACACCGTCCAGTGCTCTGGTGTCTGCGATGCTGTGGCCATCACCGGCACCCTGCCCTGCAGTGAGAGGGTCAACACAGCAGGAGCCGAGTGGTTGGAAGCAGCTGAGGGGCCGCTGTAGAACCAGAGCTGGGCGGATGTCAGCGTGCGGCTCAGGACGTGCTCTGAGGGCTGGAAGAGGTAAGTGAAGATGCCTTCTTCCTCCAGCAGCTTATCTGGCTGTGTGGGCTCGCACGGCACATCTGTGGGGAAAGAGTGGCTCAGGGTGCTGTGCCCCAGCGTGGGGATAGGGTATGGGGGGGGCACCCGCGGGTGCCGTGGAGGACATCTGTGGGCACAGGCAGGTTGTTCTGCTGCAGACACAGGGGAGCTGATGACATCCAGAGCCACATGGCACGTGCTGCTCTGTGTCCTGCAGCCGAACCTTGCAGCAGATCCAGCCCTGTGCAAGGCTCTGTCTGGCTCATGCTGCCAGCCAGGCACAGCTGCAGCACCTGGCACCCCATGGCCTTGGGAAGAGGGGATTCAGCCACCTGCTTCGTATGGCCAGGGTGGGCTGAGCTGCCTAGTGAGGTCACCAAGCCCCTCCATGCCCTGGGATGGTCTGGTGATGGTGTACCCATTCCACTGTGCCCTGCTCTGTCCTCCTGCATTCTGCTGCAACCCTGAGTATCCTGTTGCAACCTTAAGCATCCTACTGCAGCCCCATCCCTAGGCATCCCACTCCATCCTCCATCATCATACTCCTTCACTTAGCATCCCACTCCCAGCACCCTGCCCCATTCTCTACCATCCCACTCCAGTGTCCAGCTCTGTCCGCTCCTAAGCCCTCCCCATCTCCCTGTGTCCCCCTGTTCCACCTCTGGGCACTCTTCTATGCCACCTGGCCCTGCCACATCCCCATTGCCCTAAAGCAGCACCCAACTCACCCCCTGCATGCTCTCCATCTCACCAGGGCTCTCACCTGTGGAAGGGAAGAGAATCACCTGGGATGTGTCTTCCTGCTCTTCGGGTAGCACCTCCACCTCTTCAAGGACATCTCTACGATGCACCCTCCTCATGTCCTTTTGGGGCTCCTGCACGGCTGGGGGGCTCAGATGCTCCAGCACCCGTGCCCGCACCTTGGCCAGGACAAGCTGCCGGTCAGCACCAGCCCCGGTGCAGCTGCCCAGGGCACTGGCAGGCAGCACGGCAGGCAGCAGGTGCAGGAGGAGCAGCATGGCCGTGGGGCAGCTTGAGAGGCTCTGCCGTGGGCTCCTACTTGCCAGCCCAGCCTGTCTGCCCACTGCACTGCCCCTGGGGCAGGGTGGCATTGAGACGTATCTGACACTGACGCAAATGTCTGCTCGCCGTGAATATTATCTCTGGGCAGTGAAAGCACTGAGACGTCTGGAATGTGAGGACTGCAAGGACAGTGTGGTCTGGGGGGGGACGGCGCCCGGGCAGGGGGGTGGGTGGGGTGCATGCTGCTGGAGTAGTGAGTGCATGGGGCTGGGGGCAGGCAGGGATGGAAGGGGCATGGGGGCCTGCGGCTGGGTGCCTCCGTGCTGGAGTCTGGGGGCCAGCAGGAGTCTGAGGGTGCACTTTGGGCAGAGCAATAGTGTGGGAGGCACATGGCGGTGGCAGGCTGGGTGCCCTTGTAGTGGGTAGGGATGGGACGCCCCAAGGATGCAAGGTTCAGAGCAGTGGCATTGCCACAGCAACTGGGCTGCTGGGAACACGAGGAAGGGTGGGAATAGGGAGCCTCTGCTTGGGGACAGGCCATGGCTGGGGACAGCATCAGACAGAGGTTGGGACTCTGTGGCAGTTATAGGAGAAGGGTGTCACGCTGTTGCTTGGGCTGGCTGGCTGCAGCATATCCCATCTCTATGCTGCGTGCCGTGCACAGCACGTTGCCATGGGCTGAACCCACACCCATCAGGAACAGGTCTGCTGCACCCCACTGCTGCTGTGCTGCCTGCCTGCTGGTGCTATACATAGGGCAGCCCTGCCCCGTCGAGGCACTGCATGGAGCAGGCTCAGTCTTATCACCCTGACGTGTCATCGGAGGGTATTTTTGGGGACAGCAGCTGCAGGCATTCCTACCGGTCAGTCCCTGCATGCTGACGCTGGAGAGCAGAGCTGGGCGAGCAGCAGAGTGGGGTGCTGGCACCAGGATCTGCAGGACAGAGGTATTGGTGTGAGGTGGGTGCCTGAGGCAGGAGATGGTGCTGGGCAGGGTGATCAGCGGAGGGGGAAGCCAAGGAGGGGGCTGAGCCGTGGGGCTGTGTGTGCTGGTGAGGCTTGGGGGAGAACCTGACCCTGGCCCCTGGGGATGAGTTCTGTCCCACATTCCCCTTCAGCCCAGCCAGGGAATGTCTAGGTTTCTCTTTGTCCCTGCTCTCCCCAAGGGAGGGAGAGAAGTCTCTGTGCAACCCTGGCCACAGCACAGGCAGGGGCTGAGGCTTGCCCAAGAAAGGCTCTAAGCACAGAGCCCTACTGCTGCCCATAGTGCATGGGCATGGTGCATGGGTACCTGCAGCACTGGGCATGGAGGTGGTACCCTCTGAAAGCAGGACTTATTCTCCATTTGTCCCTCTGCACCCTGTGGTGATGTTCTGGCCTTGGACATGCAGGGGCTGGAGTTGGGACCACACTCGGGCAGGACCCTTCTTCCCATGCACCCTGCTGAGCTGGGCAGGAAGCACCCGGATGCGTCCAGATGCCTTCAGCCCCATGACAGCCACTTATCAGCACCTGTGCACTGAGCCAGCCCAGATGCAGCAGGAATGCGGCTCTGCCACCACCCGATACTGCAGGAATGCCCCAGCGGGTGGGGAAGGGCCATGCTGGAACCTGTTCTTCCTCAGCCAACCCCATCCCCAGCACTGCAGGGACGCAGCGAGCCCCGTGCCCCATGGGAAGGTCCCACCTCCCAGCCCAGGCTTAATGCAGCATTGCTCTGGGTGGGATGCCTTGCACCACAGCCTTATCCCACTCTCTGTCCTTAGGCTGAAGCTCCTGACTCTCCTCCTGCCCCAATCCCAGGGTGATGGAGAGCCACGGGGCAGCTCCCCGGTTCCTGGCCTACCCACGTGCCTTCACGGCACAAAGCGGCTCCGACGCCATGCTGAGGTGCCAGATTGCAGGTGACCCCCGGCCCAGCGTGCTCTGGGAGAAGGACACAGCCCCGATCCAGCCTTCAGGCCGCTTCTGCATGGAGGCCAAGGGGGATGTGTACAGCCTACGGGTGTCCTGCGTCACCCCGCAGGATGGCGGCCTCTATGTTTGCAAGGCCAAGAACTGCATTGGTGAGACTTATGCTGCTGCCACGTTGCGAGTGGAGGCTGGTGAGCAACAGCAGGAGGAGGAGGAGGAAGGCCATGCTGGCAGCCGAGCTCCCACCTTCCTGGTGGGGCCCTCATCGGTGCGGGTGTGCCGTGGGGAGGACGTGACTTTCTCATGCCGAGTCTTGGGGCAACCCTGCCCGCTGCTAGAGTGGGAGAAGGATGGCTGCAAGCTGTGTGACCTCTTCGAGAGCAGCCACTTTGCAGTGGGCCGGCAGCCTGAGAACTGGCACTACCTCAAGCTGTTTGGAGTCCGACCCCCGGACGCAGGGGTCTACGTGTGCCGGGCACGCAGCGGCTCCAAGGAGGCCCTGGCTGCAGCTGTGCTCCTGGTGGAGCCCTGGTGCTCCCCTTCTGACAGCACCCAACCATGGCAACAGCGACACGGGAGCACTGACACCTGGGCACCAGCACCCAACGGCACACCAAGAGCCAAGGCATTCGCTGTCAGCGCGGGGAAGCACGCCAAGTTCCGCTGCTATGTCACCGGCAAGCCCAAGCCGGAGATCATCTGGCAAAAGGATGGCAAAGTCGTGGCCCCCGGCCGCCGGCACCTGGTCTACGAGGACCGCGAGGGCTACTTCATCCTGAAGGTGCTGTACTGCCGACCCCGTGACCAGGGGCTGTATGTTTGCACGGCCTCCAACACGGCTGGGCAGACATTGAGTGCCGTGCAGCTGCAGGTGAAGGGTAGGTGTGCGCCCTGGGGCCGTGCTGGATACCCTGCAAGGGGGCTGTACCCCCTGAGGCCCCATACCGAATGCCTCCCGCCCAGCTGCCGCATCCCAAAATAGCTGCTGGGAACAGGGGGCTGCCATCTCCCTTCCTCACGGCTGTGCTGCCGACATGGGAGGAATGCGGGGGTACCGCATGCATTGGTGTTCAGGGGGCTGGGAGGGTGCTGAGCAGGAGGATGCATTCTCAGCACCCATTTCTCCCGGCAACAGAGCACCGGCTGCGGTTCCAGGTGCCATTGGAGGATGTGGAGGTGGCAGAGCGGGAGGATGCAGTCCTGGAGTGCCAGGTGCCACTGGGGAGCATCCCCACCTCCTGGTTCCTGGAGGACCGGGAGCTGCAGCCCAGCCACAAGTACATGATGGAGGAGTGCGGCGTGGTGCGGCGTCTGACCATCCGCGATGCCCGCACCGACGACGACGGCGTCTACCTCTGCCAGATGAAAGACCGGGGCCGCAGCGTTGCTGAGGTCTCCGTCCGAGGTGGGAGCGGGCCCAGCTCTGCCTTCCAATAACGCAGCCCCAGTGTCCCCCTGCCCTCACATGTCTCCTCTCCTAGGGCTGATCGTGAAGAGGCTGCCACGGAAGCTGGATGTGATGGAAGGAGAGAATGCGGCTTTCTGTGTGGAGACGCGGGAGGCCATGGAGGGGATCTGCTGGAGCCGCAATGGGCTGCAGCTGCAAGAGTCACCACGCGCTGTGCTGAAGAGCTTCGGCAGGACACACCTCCTGGTGCTGGTGCACGTCACCCGTGAGGATGCAGGCATCATCTGCTTCTCTGCTGGGGAGTCACTGACATCCTCCCAGCTCCGTGTCAAGTGTAAGCCTGGGCTGGGTTTCATGGGGCTTCCCCGCACCCTCCATTCTCCCCATTCACCAAGGTCTGAAATGGCAGAGGGATGGGATGGCACCTTCCAATCCCCACTGCGCCGTGTGTTCCAGGTGTGAAGCGTGACCCTCCCAGTGCACCTATGGCAGCCCAGATGAGCACGGAGCAGAGCAACGCAGCCCTCCTGACGTGGTGCCCTGCACCCGATGTGCACCATCACCCTCCCAGCACCTACATTCTGGAGCGGCGTGAGGCGGCAGGCAGTAGCTGGGTGCAGTGCCTGAGCACTGAGCTGCCCGGCCGCGTGCAGGTGCTGGGCGACAGCGTGCCCCGCGAGGCTGACTACTGCTTCCGAGTCTGTGCCGTCAACAAGCATGGCCGCAGTGACCCTGTGGAATTCCCTGGCTGCGTGCATCTCGGTGAGGGGACACAGGATCTTCAAGAGGGTGGGAGCATGGGAGCTGCGTTGTGCCAGGTGCTCACACGCTGTGGGGCTGAGCTCATGCTGTGCTGCAGTGCCAGCTGTGCGCCTGGAGAGGGGCCTGCAGGATGCACGGGTGCGGGATGGTGAGGATGCACGCTTCTCTGTGGAGCTGTCGGCCTCGGTGCAGGGTGAGTGGTTCCTGAATTGCACAAGGCTGCAAAGGGAGGAGAGCGGGCGCTTCAGTGTGCAGCACTGTGGGACGGAACACTCGCTGATCATCCGCTCAGCAAGGCTGAGAGAGAGTGGTACACATGTCACCTTTGTGGCCAGCGGTGTGCGAGACTCGGCCAGGCTGCATGTGCAAGGTGAGCATCCCACCAGTCAAAGTGCAGCAGGTGGGAAACACCTCCCACATTTCTTACCCTGTGGGTTCCCAGCCCCACAGGCTCACATCGCCCCAGTGCCTGAGGCACGGCGGCTCCGGGAGCTGCTGGCAGGGCTGCCACTGCTGCTGGAGTGTGAGG